AAAAACACTGAATTGCCTCCTAAAATGTTTTCGTAGGACGTGAGCGCTAAAAAAGTGTTTCTATACCATTAGCATACTCACTTGCACTGGCACACTTTTCACTATCTGTCTGTGCACAATGGTTTTATTTCAGAGGGAGTTCTACAGCTTAACAATCTAGTTTTAGTCTTTAGGGTTAGGGTTAGAGCAGTGTTTCTCAATCTTAGCAACTTAAGACATGTGGCCTTCAACTCTCAGAATTCTGCTTACACATTTGCTGCTTACTCCTGGGTGCTATGAGGTCTAACATGTCACTACAAAAATGGTGCTTGCTCATCAGCAATTGCGTTCTCTCACTATACCCTAAGATTTCCCTGTAACCTGCCAGCCAGGCTACTTTTGGGACATGGTTTTAGCTCTTGTTTAGAAGTACGCTAGACCCCTGTTCAGTAATCTCCTGTTTTCACCTAGATCCAAGCACCTGCCTACACTTACCTCTCCGCTCCCCATCCCACTTCACTCCTTTCCTAGACTGCAGTAGCTTTTATGGAGAGCAGCTGGTGGCTGTTTTCCTGCTAGCAGGCAATTCTTGGTAGGAAGGAAAACCAAGCCAGGGAAATCCAGGAATTACTTTCCTTAACTTGTCCCACCTTAAAAGTAAGAACAGCACGAGTCACCAGCTGCAACAGTGAGGCAGAACAGAAATCAGCAGTGAGGACAGTTTATGCCAGCATACTTTTCCACTGCCTCAAGAAAAGAAAATAGCACTTTAATGCAGCCGTCTTGTTTTGCTCACAGTGAAGTGAGCACTCAGGATCCCCTGGCTCAGGCTGGTGTGCAAACCCAGAAAACTGGGTTAATTCCAGAGAAGACAATTCAGTTAACACTGGCTAAAATGTTACATAAAAATAGCTTCTCTCTCACGTCTCAGCCTAAATTCCACCCCTACCCCAGATCTTAAAAGTCTGCTATGGCTTTTGGCTTCCAAATTTTCATCCCTTCCCTTCTGATCCTGTATGCTCTTGTATGCACAGCCACTGCTGCTGCTCTTTGCGGACACCAGCGATAAATCATGTTGTCACACCACTGGTGATAACTCCCTGTTGGGAGGGCCGACATGATCAAGCGCCACAGGGCATGAACGTAATAACAATTCCTATGATACCAGTTGCTTTGCAGCAAGCAGTGACACCGAGGGAAACTTCTCCATAACCAAATGCGCTCACAGAACCCCAACCGTTTGCTCTGGGAGGCCACGAAGATGATGGGTCAGAGACGTTCACCCCCAGAAGACACGTTGCAAGCTGGTACTTGTTGCAAAGGTGAAGAAGGGTCTTGAGGTTCCCTCCCGTGATACAGCCTCTCTTTCCTTTTTATGAGATCCCCCAGGACGCAATTGCCACTAGAAACACGGGCAAGATGTGGAGCCAGGAAAGGTGATCAGCTCTCAGAAACCGACTGCAACATTTTCCTTTCCTTCGGGCTATCAAATCGAGCATCATATCTAAGTTTAGCTAGATTCATGGATCCTGCTAAACAATAAAGAGATTTGACCGGTGGCATCTAGAAACCGTATCGGATGACCTGCGGTACGTATGGACTCATTCACTATGGTTTGTACGCCATGGTTTAAGAATGAGCAAAATGTGGGGCCCCAGCCATTGGGGCTTTTCCAACAAGGTATTGTTAAATCAAATAACAGTTTAGAGGATGGGTGTGTCCAGGCATCATGGCCAATCCAACATAGCTAGTAGTTAAAGAATGGTTAATATAATGTGTAAATCCAGCCATTAAACTTTCCAAAGCAAGCCTTCCATGTTTTAAATCAGGGTTCCTCAACCTCAGCAACTTTAAGATGGGTGGACTTCAACTCCCAGAATTCCCCAGCCAGCCAGATGGGAGTTGAAGTCCACCCATCTTAAAGTTGCTGAGGTTAAGGAACCCTGTTTTAAATGGGAAATCCTATCATCCTTGACTGTGGGACATGTTGGTTAGTGTTTTTAAGTTACTGGCCAAAACTTAGAAAAAGGACCAGGGTTACACCAAAGCCCATGCTAACATCTCAGCAGCTAGCCAACCTTGGTTGATCTTGAAAAACTAAACCAGGTCAGACCTGGTTAAATATTGGGTCATTAAGTCTAGTATCTACCTGCAGTCATGCTAGAAACACATTTTTGAAGTGAGCGCTTTAATCATGGTGTGATGTACTTGATCTTTGTTCTTTTACATCTGAAATGCCAAGTGTTGGTCACAGATGCTCGTCCCTCACCGATCTTCACAGAACTAAGCAGACCAATTCAAGCCCCAGATCAGAAACCACTAGGAAATCCTACCTTTTAAAAAAAGATATCACAGGAGACCATGGCAAACCACTTTTGTTGCCAAGAAATTTAAACAGACATATCCGTACAACCAGCAGGAGCCAGGACTGACTTAAGGGAGACTATCCTTTAAAAAAAAAAAAAAGCCCTTGTTAACCATTAAGATCTCCAGATGTGACAAAATGGGCTTCAGAATGTGGTTGTCTCATTTCTTACTACACTGGAGTGTTTAAAAGACCTTTGGACTCTGAGATCACACCCCTCATACAAAGGCATTCTGGTTAATTATTTTATATCTGTATCCTCTTTGTTCAGGTCCTCCAAAACCATCCTGCAAGCTTCTTTTAATAGAAGTAGATTGTCAGCCAGCTGATGGGTAACATGAAGGGGGGGGGGGGAGGAGAGGAAGTATTTCCTAAGCATCTTTATTGTTCACGGACTCCTATTTTCCAGAGAGCTCCAGAAGAGAAAATGATAAAAATTCCAAAATAAATCATACCCACCTACACAAAAACAGAGTTGTTATTGACAACCAGGATTGAAAGACAACCCTTGGCACGTGAACATTGGTGAAGCTTTAGCAATGGCTTACAGTCACAAGCACAGAGGGGGAAATGGATCTCTAGATTCCAGTTAAGCCAGGGGTCCTCAACCCCCGCCCCCCTCTAGTTTGGTGGGGGTAAAGCACATAAATCCCCGCAGCACCTTCCTTCTGCCGGGTAGAGTCGTGAAGGGGGTAG